CAGAATCTATTTTATTTTATTATGTGTTTCCATTGACAGAAGATCACTGGATTTACAAAAACAGGTATTCCGTTTGGTTTCTTTGATACTTTATACTGTACAGATCGACTCATCCTTCAAAATAATGTGTTGGATTTTTTTTTTTTTTAAAAAGTCATCATCTTGGAGCACTTGGTGCAATGAATGGAAAATATGTCACGGCGACCTTTTTAAAATATGTGCTGTTAATTTAATGGGGAAAAAAATGAAAATAAACATTAGATAGATTACATTCTTAGTTTTTTCAGTTTGAGAATACCGGTAATACTCTCATATGGTTGAGGCAGGGTTTAACTGTCATTTGCAATCTCACAGAATACAGAACTAAGTTTGATTCTTCTCCTCCTCCTCCTCCTCCTCCTCCTCCTCCTCCTCCTCCTCCTCCTCCTCCTCCTCCTCCTCCTCCTCCTCCCATTTACTACAGGTCATAATATATTATAAGAAAAGGCCAAGAAAACCCCCACAAAGGACATATTGCATCTGACAAAACAATGATTTTCTGTCTCTCTGTCTGTCCCTGTCTCCCCCTCCCCTCCATGTGTGTATTCCACCAAGATAGCCAAGTTGGGTTCAAGTATTGCATCTCTTGTTGAATGGGCCCACATTCTGGCTACTGGTTGAATCTATGTCACTTAAAAATTCAAGATCATCCCCCATCACTGCTGTGCAACCACTAGGACCAGGTTTGACAACCCCTCTTGAGAAGTCATGGTACAAAAAAAAAATTAGGACAAACAATAACATATGTATATATTTAGGGCAATGTCAGTGTATAGGAAGTAAAGATATATCTTCTATATACTGAATTCCATATTTTTCTTCAATCTGTTTATTTGCTGGGCTTATAGGCCATTCCAATTGTATATGAGTAAATCAGGTTGAAACATATACGTATAAAATACAGATTAAAAATATATATCAACATAAAAATTCCTTAATTTGGAGTTAATCATCTCCAGTAGATGACATTTGCTGGACAAAGACTATGAGAACAGTTCCCTTTAAACTACTTTGTTGGATATCTAAGTACCTGACTGTTATTGGTAGATTTTGCATAGAAAGTATCCTTCTATTGCAAAATGAATTCATAGCAATTCAGTGTAGCTATTGTTTCTCTAGATTGACATGAGTCTGCATGGGAACTCAGCTTCGCTTATGACACCTTATATTATTCATTTATGAAGAGGCAAATGACACAAAAGGTGAACTGACTGTATTTATTAAGATCAGAGTTGAACTTAGCTCTTATCAGGAACATAGTAGAGGAACTTAACATCTTGCAAACAGTACACCTTTACTCTCCATAACATAGATAGGTTCAACTTTTGTAAATACCAACTTTTTAACAGAGGAATAGCTGAAATTAGTATGCTCAGAATTACTTTTAAATTTTGGTATCAGATTACTGCTTTCTGCATTATAGCCTAACAAAATGTTACCTATGGCTCAAATGAAATTATTTCAAAAATATTGCCTTGGTGCTTAGTTTGGGTATTAAACTAAGCAAATATCAATTAAAAAGGAAGTCTTTTGTCTTGTGGATGCGGCATCAAATAGGTATGCAGGTCTGAATACTTTTTGAAATGAAAGACAGCTTGTGTCTTTTAGGTTCAGCCATCAACTTTAAAGGAACAAGCAGTCAAGAAATACACTGCAGACTAGCAATTGATAGAACAGCCTTCAAAATATATTCAGATACTGTGATATGTCCATGCCTACAAACATCACAATCATGCAAATAATGGTATTCTATGAAAACAAAGGTTGGAGTATTGATGCTTTTGAACTTTGATGTTGGACAAGACTCCTGGGAATACCATACCTAGTCAAGAAAACAAAATCCTATCTGTATGATTACTAAAGTCCCATAATTAATCAAGCCATCAATCAATCAAAGAGGTGAAGATTCAGGTCCCAAATTTATCATAACAATGCCTGTGCGATAAGTCTGTGTATTGGTGAAAGTTCATTTAGGTTGATGACACAATTCCATTGCATTAGAACTACACATAGATAAATAGAATTGTATTGTTGTGTTCTTTCTTGGGTGATTGGAGGTAAGAATTTAAGTTATCCCAAATAAAAATTCATTCTAGCAGAGTAACCTCAAAATGTCCTCAAGAATTCTCCAAATATATTTTTCAGTTCAATGTTACACCTGGTTCAGTTTTTTAGAAACATCATCTAATAAAACTATATATGAGTATAACAAAGGTTACAATCTCACCAGTGTCTACTCAGAAATATACTCAGTAGAAAAAAGTACACTTCTGTTTAATTTTATGTGTCCATAGCCTTGATCAGTCAACACTGCAGTCATCTACAAGAAAAATCATGTATATTTATGAATGGAATTTCAAATACTTTTTTTAAAGAAATAAAAGCCATAAACTCCTAATTCAGAAAGAGAGTTTGTTGGTGAAGAGTGTTGGCTTAATCCTCCCAAACCACTCACCTACATTAATTTTTGACATTTTTTTAAAGATTTAAATTAAATTTAAAATGTATCTGATCTATCAAGTAAAATTACAATTAAAACAAACAAATTGCTCTTCACACTATCAGTGGTGAGACAAATAATAACCAGGGATGGAGATTTTTACCTAAAACATTTGGAAAGAGTTCACTCATTTGCATTAGTTCCAAAACACCTTAAAAGATCCAAGCCAATGAAATCTAGAATGGCCTTATGTGATTACCTTAAAATTAGAAAAAGTTCACCAAGTTGGAGCAAATAAAACACCAAGGTTATTTTAAAATGTGGTATTGTAAATAAAAGCTAATGTTCAGTATATGTAAGACATTAAAGGCATGAATTAAGTATCAGTCTTATTTAAATGTAGTTTTCATTGACCGTTGATATTAATTTTATTTATGAAAGCAATGAGTGCCTTAATATATCAAATTACCAGCACCTTGAATGTTTTGAGTTTTTCAAAAGTAGAGATTTGAAATTATGCAAACAAATTCTGGCAACTGTAACTTATTTGATATTAAATATTGTGAGCCTGATGGTATTTTGAAAGTATACGGGGAAAAAAATACAGGCAACCACTTTTCTGATACTTTTCATAATAAGCCCTTAACTAAAATGATCCATAACCACGTTTCGACATTAATTCAGTGGAATGATTCACGAGAAAAGCATTTTATATTTTATCAGTTTAAAGCAATATAATCTAGGAGACATATTTTCTGTAATGTTTCTGATCCAGGGATTAGCGGCCCCATTAAGAAGCTTCAACGCAGTGAAGTTAATATAAAGGATTCATTTGTGTTTACAGTCCACATTTGCATTCAGAATATTCTAGGTTTAATCACCACTATCTTCATATTGGGTTGGCAAAGTGCATGCTGAAATCCTAAATTTCAAAAACACTGGACTAGATGAAGCGACGATTTTATTCAGTAAAAAAGCAATGTGTAGTGTCTTTCCCCTCCAGCAGAGGGTGGCAAAATTTTCTGTATAGGAATTCCCCTGCCTCCCATGCCAATGTATTTTTTTTCAGAATGTGAAAAAAAGGGGGAATTAAATCTAGTTTTTTAAAATAACCCTTGCAAAAATTTACAATGCTTATGAGTAGCGTTATACTAATTTTTAAGATCATATGATGGTAGTTTGCTTAAAGTCACTAACTGATTCTTGATGGTTCATTAGGCAATTCAGGATTATTTTTCAATATCCCTGAGTCTAGTTGCTTTGGCCTGCAAATGCTCTTTAGCGTCGTCTCGAGGGGAGGAGTGGAAACTGTTTATGTCCAGGATGTGAGGGGTCTGCAGATTTCTTGTCAGTTCCCCTTCTGACCCACGTAATATCCAGGTCTTCTATGGAAGGCATAACAGATAAGTACAATCATGGAGGGAAGGAGTAGGGGGAACTATGAAATTCTCAAAGTAAAAGAGGTGCCTAAAGGTGCCTATTTTTCTTTTGGTGGGCTGTCTTTATTACTCTAGAAACGCTAAAGACAAAGAAGCAAATGATTTTACTCTTGTTAGCATCACTTCAAGCAATTTTTTTTCCTGTTGGCCAAATGTCTACGGTTTGAGATTCACAAGACTCTGGAAATGGGTGACAGTAAGACAGTAATAGAGAAAACAATTAGCTAATTCCATCTGCAGATCCTTATCTTTTTAAAAACCAGGCCCCTCATCAATTAGAGCAGAACCCCACTCAATATTGTTCGAGCTTCAGTGAAATAATGCGTTAAGACAGGGGTGTCAAACTTGATTTCATTGAGGGCCACATCAGGGTTGTGTTTGACCTCGGGAACGGGGGCTGAGTGGGAATGGCCAGGATGAGAGTGACATCAGCTTGACATCATTCATGTCAGGGGCACCTGTGGTGGCCTGAGCATTCTGCCAGCAACTGTGGACCAGTCATTCGTGTTTCCAAGGCAACCTTGCGAGCCAGATCTAAGCACCCTATGGACCATATTCAGCCTGCAGGCCTTGAGTTTGAAACCCTATGTTAAGGTCTCATGCTAGCATCCTATATAAATGGATTGTCTGTTTTCTGGGAGTTTTGAGCAAAACCAGGAAACAAAATTGTGCTTCCTATTATTTCAACAGCACTTCTCACTCAAAGATAGTGATTTTGATTATATTAATAGTTCTTTGATTTGATTTATAAATGTTTTAATGTAACTGGCCCCAGTGAAAAGAGAAGGAAATATGACATATTACATGAAACATCTTCTAGCGACTGCTAGATGCAAAAAGGGTGAAGATTCTTTTGGAAATATAACCGATATATTCTTTTAAGTGAAGAATTTTAATGTGACCTTCATTTGGCATTTGTTTTACTCTTCTTCTCTTTTTCTTATTTATTTTTTCCACTTCTGTTGTTCAGTTAGTAGTTGACCCCTTTAGTGGAGATGTAAATGAAGTGACATTTCAATGCCATCCCATATTTAAATTACTGTGTTAGTTGTGGCTCTTAAAGGATGATCTACATTCTTAAGCTCATTTATTCATTTAACAATTTCCCTCCAGAAGTTTCAACAGAAGGCTCGGAAACAAACTAAGCAGAAGAAATATAAGTCGTCTGACTTTCTGATGGCTGAGCTTTGCTCGATGAGTTATTGCTCATAATTTGTGTAAGGATTAATTAAATAATTACAGACAAATGGCTGTAGGCAAAATTTTGTTCTTGCTTGTCAGAGTGCTGTTTGTAATTATTTTAATCATTTGTGTCCCCCCTCTTTTTAATAAAGAGTTAATTTTATTTTAATTCTATTTTAGTGATATTTGATGCTGCTACCGCACAAGTAAATGAAGGATTAGAAGGAATTTGTCTTGGGTACACTTTTGACCTTGTCGCATTTCTCCCCTTCAACAGCAAAAGATAAGAAAGTTTCAATTGAAGTCTCTGAAAAATCCAGCTTTTAACATCAACAATACTGATATTTCAGCACATCAGACTTACAAGGTGGGACTTATTAGATATGACAAGCTGACTTGCAGTCTTGCAGCTCACCCACAAAAACTCAGGTTGCAAGCCCAAGCTGAACCAAGAGGTGAGATTTCACTCTTGATCATCATCAGCTTGAGTGACAATGGTTATGTCCTTGATCTAACCTGTCCATTCCATGTTGATTCAAACATTGTATCATGACTTTCCCCCTCCCCAATAGACTGTCCTAAAACCTGCTATGCTGAAACTGAAAAAGCAATATGGTTGCTGAAAATATAATTCTTTGTAGAGTTGTTTTTATGATGTGTAGTTTCTAGAGAAATGCATACTAGAAGAAGCTTCATCAAAAGTGTCTTTCTTTGTATTGTATTGCTATGTAAGTTATATTAAAAGTAAAAAACCTGGAATTCAATATGAGAAAGGGCAGTTTTTTCACTACAGTAGTGAACACTTTTTTCACTACAGTAGAATCAATCTTAAAATAAAAGTAGATATCAGATGCCTGCAAAATGCTGTTTGTCAGCCAATGATTACCTTTTTAATTTATGAAGTATTTTATTCTGTCATCACAGTTGTCTACATAATGCCCATATTGAGGCTAAGGATATTAAGGTTGAAATAAACTAGATTACTTCAGCCAATCCATGTAACTTAATTGCTGAAATATTTCAAAATAAGAATCTTCACAATTATATGGCACACTAAATGCTACTTTGTACAGTTAGATTTTCAGCTTAGCCTCATCAATTAGTATATTCTGAAAGAATTTTTTTTTTGATGATGATGAAATAAAAATAATGTTTGTGCCAAGTAGAAAGGGGTGTTTGGGTGGTGAGGCAGAGTTAGTAGACCATCTTCCAAAAAGAAGCAGAGTTACTGTGAGTCTTCTCCCTATTAAGTTACCAAATTTAGCTAAACCATCACCTCAGTATTCTCTCAGCTTAAGGTTGTAGCTCTGAATCTCTTAGTCTACATCTTTCCTGTGGGAACAAGAATGGGATAGTGAATAATAAACTCCACATCAAGGTACTCCCAGAATCATGAAACAGTGTCTTCCATATAGATCAGGGGTCCCTACCCCTCGGGGTGCACGAAGTGACGTTTCACCTGCATATGTACAGGATCGAGGTTCTGCATAAAACCATCACTCCTCCAGACCGTGGAAGACAGTTTTTCTTTCAAAAACTGGTCCCTGGTGCCAGAAAGGTTGAAATAGTAGTTTAATTAGGTACTGATTTTCTCAACTCAGCTTTTCCTGTTGAGGAAGATAAGAGGAAATCCATGTTTGGAGACTGTTCCCAGACTGCTTTCTGGCTTCTCAGCTTTCATAAGGCATTTAGTTTAAAAGGGTAGAGAACTTTATTAAGGTGAGAACTTCAGTGAGATCATTGCAAGGTCTAGAGTCTGAATTTGGACCGTAAATGAAATGTTTTTCAGTTTTGGCCTGAAGACGTTAATCAAACCCATGGAGGGTCATCTATGGTGGACAACCTATTTAGCTGTGAAATGTAGGAAATGAGGGAGGGAGTCAAGCATATCATCAGTCTTGAGTTCTGAGTGCTTTGTGCTCACAAGATATCTAAGTCCAGCCCACCTTGGATTCTGTTGATTCCTATCTACCACCAATTTGCTTTGAACTTTAGTAGTTCAGTTTCTTGTAGAGAGTGATGGCATGCAATAAACCTGTACTCTTTCAAACTGTCTTGGTTCCTGATTTCCTGTGCTTGACATGCAACTTATTAATAGCCAGCTCTAATTTTAATAGAGAATTACATCTTTCGTTTTCTTCCAACCTTAACCATCTTCTGCATTGCATTTTATGGGGCTACCCTTGAAGAGTATTCAGAAGCTACAATTGATCCAGAATGCAGCAGTGCATACAGATTTGGAGGCCCCTTGGTTGGCACATGTAACATCACTCTTAAGTGAGTTGCAATAGTTGCCAATTTGCTTCTGGATACAATTCAAGGTGTTGGTCATTGCCTTTAAAGCTCTTTATGGCATAGGACCAGGATATCTAAGGAGCCATCAGCCCCAATGGGATTGGTCCACCTCACTCCTGCTGGTGGAAAGGGTCTACTGTGGACTCCCAATGAATTGTAGCTGGAGGGGTCCAAGGGAGAGCTTTTTCTGCCACAGACCCCACCTTTTGGAACATCTTGACTCAGGAGATGAGGTCCACCCCTACCTCCTGGTCTTCAGGAAACGCCTTAAAACTTGACTGTGCTTGTTGGCATGGGGCCCTAAAGAAGAAGCTATTGGCTGAAGGTGGCTAGTTTACTAACAGAGAAGCCACTGCTACCTTTCTGCTCTAAACTCATGGTTCTTTAGTTTGTTTTAAACTCTGTAATTTTAATCTGTTTTTATATTTTATAATTGTTTTTAGTTCCATATATGTTGTTATGATGTCAGTTGCTCAGTGTTGCCTTGTGCCCCAAGACTAGTGGCATATGCATTTTTATAAACTAAGAAGTAAATAAATAAATATGACTCAGTTATTTTAGGTAAATGTCTTATCTGATATGCATTCTGTTTATTAAGCTGTTCTACTATTGACAAAATGACAGATTTTAAAATTACAGTCATTCCTTGTCCATTTGTTATTTCTTTTTCCCTTTGACTTCAATAATAGAATAAAGGATAAATAGTCTAATATGATTTATTATTAAGCTCTTTTAATATGATGATTTTTTAAAAAATTCATTCATCTTCACAGATCTTGCATAGCATGATGTCCTCTCTTGCATACATTTAAAGCAGAGGTGGTATTCAGCAGGTTCTGACCAGTTCTGGAGAACCGGTAGAGGAAATTTTGAGTAGTTTGGAGAACCGGGAAATACCACCTCTGACTGGAGATTTTACAGTATCCTTCCCCTGCCACGCCCACCAAGCCACGCCCACAGAACCTGTAGTAAAAAAATGTGAATCCCACCACTGATTTAAAGAGAGTCACCAGTAGATATTTCCTGCAACAGGAACATTTATTGTACCAACAGCAGTAGATATAGACTACTTTTTTAAGCATGGAAGAGGACAAAGAGCATCTGGAGAGGCTTGGAAACTCTCTAGTTAGAAAGGATTTGGTTTTTGCTATGTTCAACAGAGGCCTTTTGCACAAGTCTGAACAAAGAAAGAACTTACATATAATAAATTGCTGAGAATTATATACACATACACACACACACACACACACAAGGATGCCAACTGCTGCAAAATGAATTATGTTACCGATGTTTCATTGCAATAGACTGCAATGTATATATAAGTTAAACATAATATACAATATAAATTAAAAAGGTATCCAACAGTCCAAATGTGAATGGATTCAAGGCCAGTCTATTTAAAGGCCTATTTGTATGTATGTGAGGACTGATCAGGAGCATGGTTAGCACCGAAGAATTTGCACCACCATTTTCTCTTTTAATGGTCAACATTAACATCGGCAAGAAAGCATGTTCTCACACCACTTTGTGCTAGAGGAAAACAATTATGCTGTATAAGGTAGACTAGCTCTGTTATTGCGGTACATAAGACTTTGATTACATACTGCCAGGATTCATACCAGCCTAGTAGTTGTTGACAGATAAAGTAACAAAAATGAAACTCATTTATTTATTTATTTTCTTTGTTGAGACCTCAAGGTAAAGCAAATTTTCAGGTCTCGTACTTACTGCATGGAGAAAATAGACCCTGACAGTGTGCTAGTCCAGAAATCTAAATTAAACCTAGTTTCATATCAAAGTTTCATTTAGTCTCTGAGAAACAGCTGCTGCTGGCATTGCATGTTTTTTTTTAAGTAAAGCAAAAGTAAATATATTGTTTCTACAGTATTTCTTCGCTTTGTTTTCCTTGTCATATCTCTTTGATCCTGGCCCATGTCTCTGGGTGTGCGCTTTCATTTTCATTTATTTTATCTGAGGGAAGACATTTGAAAAATATAAGACCAAATTCCTTTATTTTCACATCCGAAATGTGTATCCCTGTCTCATGGCATATGAATCCCATGATTAGAATAGAATAGAATTCTTTATTGGCCAAGTGTGATTGGACATACAAGGAATTTGTCTTGGAGCAAATGCTCTCAGTGTAAAAGAAAAGATACATTCATCAAGAGTCAAGTATCATCAGGTAAAACACTTAATGATAGTCATAGGGTACAATAAGCAATCAAATACTAGGAAATATAAATTGTTAGGATACAAACGACTAAGTTACAGTCATACAGTCATAAGTGGGAGGGGATGGGCAATAATTAATAGTAATAGTAATGCAGACTTTGTAAATAGTTGGACAGTGTTGAAGGAATTATTTGTTTAGCAGAGTGATGGTGTTTGGGGAAAAACTGTCCTTGTGTCTAGTTGTTCTGGTGTGCAGTGCTTTATAGCATCGTTTTGAGGGTAGGAATTGTGAATGTTAAGATATTCCTTTATTTTATTCCTGTAATAAAGTAATAACACAATTAAAAAATAATGTCCAGAATAAGCCAAGCAAAACATTTAGCTGATACAGTTGTGAACCTTACAAATGCAGCTTGTCTACTTTAACAAGGCAGAATACTACTGCTTTGATTAATTGTAGCAGCGGTTGCCAACCAGTGGGGAACCACTGGTGGTCCGCGAGAAAATTTTGATGATCCGCAGAGAAATGTCACCCCCAGAGTGACCCCCCAAAAGCAATTAATCTGGGCTGTGCAGTGACACAAGGTTGTGCCGCCCACATGGCCTGCGGGAACCCTTCTCACCCACTCACTCCTTACCTGTCAAACTTGCCTGCTAAGTTGCTATTTTTCCTTTCTCCCCCCGACTGTCAGCTGTTCTGCTGTGCCGGGATATTTATATTAGCTAGAAAGAGGAAATCATTGGATTTCTTGCTTTCTAGCTAATCTTTAGATCTTTCTTCCTTAGGACTGAAACTTCTATTTGTCAGTGCAGACTCTGATAGCCAATGTCAGAAAGATAGATCTCTGAATGAATCTGTGATTCTGTGAGCAATTCAATCTGCCTGCCTGCTTTGGGTAAAAATTCCTCTTTTTTATTAAAAAAATCAATATTTACATAAAAATAATATTTACATACAAGCCATGCCCAGCCAGTCACATGACCACCAAGCCACACCCACAAATTAGGTCACACCCACAGAATCGGTTAAGAAATTTGAATCCCACCTCTCCCTCTGTCTGTCTGTCTGTCTGTTTGTCTGTTTGTCTGTCTGTGAGAGAGAGAGAGAGGGGGGTGTTATGTGATGACCGGGAGCATGACACAGAAATAACACAGTCACAAAAGTATAATAAATTCCCTTTAATGCCTCCAACTTGGGCCTCAATGTCCAATTATCCTCGACTTGATATCAAACTCTTCCAAAAACAGTCTACAAAGAGAGTAAATGCAGTCTGAACCAAAATAAAAATAATTAGAAATTAAAAAACCCCAACACAAACCACACTGGAGTCATTAACACGGCAGGCCAGGATGATAAATTGCGGACTTCCACAAAATAACGCAGCAACCACAGTTGGGAAGATGCCAAAACCCAGATAAGTCTCAACCAAGATAAAGCACACTTTGCTTCTAGCAAAGAGCTATTTAAAATGCCGCACTTATATCTCGTTCTCCCAGCTGCAACTAATGAAAGGGATCAGGGCCTTTTCCTCTCCCGTAAGACATGTTGCTCCCTTCTCCATTCCTCCCTGCATGCCCTAGGATGAAGAGGGGATGGCCCTGGGTCTTGCTCTGAATGCCCAGCCGGACTGTGCTCTTCCCCCATTTCTTCCACAGCCACTGGAGTCACACTCCCACTCCCTGTCAGCTCCTCAGTCTCCCCCTCAGAATCACACTCCAACAAGGGCATGGCAGGTTAGATCAGATATCTCTCTCTCCCACCAACGTCAGCAGCCACTGTCAGTCAAAATTCATGTTAGTGGTCCTTGGGATTTAAAATTATGAGTTTGGTGGTCCCTGAGGTCCAAAAGGTTGGTGACCCCTGAACTGTAGCAGCCTCATGATTGTATAGAAGGACCATTGCTACAGAAGGATTGCAACTTTTCAATTCATGCCTTTAATCTTTACTACCATGGCAAGCCCAAAGCGGATTATAGCAATCCTCTTATAGATGGAGAATAGGAGCAGTACTGGTGCCACTTCTCACTGAAGTAATATTATCTAATGTAAATGTTAGCCTGCTTCTAAAGATTTACAACAATTCATTTAGTGATCGCTCAAAGTTACCACAGCACTGAAAAAAGTGACATGACTGTTTTTCACACTTACGACCATTGCAGCATTCCCATGGTCACGTGATCAAAATTCAGATGCTTGGCGACTGGCTCATATTTTTATGGGTGATCCCCTTTTGCCACCTTTTGACAAGGAAATAAACCATATTCATTTTTTACAACCGTGTTACCAATTTAACAACTATGGCAAGGAAAGTCGTAAAATGGGGCAAAATTCATTTAACAAATGTTTCACTTAGCTGCCGAAATTTTGGGCTCAATTGTGATTGTTAACTCTTCTAAGGATACCATGAGACTCATTACTGGAAAAGAATAATGAACCAAACCTGTTTCTCTCATCGGTTGTGTCAGCCGATGTCCTCCTCTCACTTTTAAAAACAAAATATAAATTTCCTTAGTTCCTGAAGCACTATGTACACCCAGCTATGGAAATGGAAACTGCTAAGTGAGTAGTTTTATCCCATCAAATTGTTATGTGGATGCTGAGCCCAAGCTAATACAATTGCGGTTCAGATTAATGAGGCAGCATTCACAGCATCTCCTCTGTAATTAAACACTTCCATGGTTGACAATAGTATTAAAGACGTACCAGATGTTGAAAGCTGAGTGGTGAAACTTAAAACTGTTAAAATTGAAGGGGTCACCTGTGAAACACAATTTCCTTAACAGTTTCTTTTAGAGCCCATCTCAAGAATAATTTTGGTTGAGGAGTAGGTTTAAGAATGTTATTTTAATCAACCTATCATCTTCATTTGAGAATTTTCTCATTAATTTCTGAGCAGAAGTAACATCAACTGAACTTGTTTCCAAAATTACCTTTTCTGACCTTTTCCTAGATGATAATTATGAAAGCAGTCAGCATAGAAGACTTTGTTTATATGTATGTATGTATGTATATATGTATATGTATATATATATATATATTATAAAGTAGTAGCAGAAATGCCCCTCTTGCATGCTAGTGTTGGATTTCAAAATTAACATTTTGGTTCATGTGCTTCTAATAATCACTGACCCTTACTTCATGTACTTTCCACAGGAAATGAATGCAGCAGAAATTACTTTGACCCTCTGATGGATGAGGAAATAAACCCAAGGCAGTGTGGAATAGAGGTCAGCAAAGAGGGTGAGGCAGAATTAAGTATGTAATTTTTGTGTCAGAATATTCTTTCCCGTTCATGGAAATGAGGTGACAAAGATCACAAATTCGGTTCCATTTAAATATCCAGCTTACAATTTAAATTATAAGTTTTAGCTGCTCTAAATGTGATAGGAAGCTTTGGGAGTCTTTGATGAAGGACAGTGTGTTAGTGGACAATAGAATAAGCAATTGTTGAGCTACATTTGTTCTGGCATTGTATTTTCAGGTCTGCTAAGCCAAGTTTCTTAAGTGTAGTTGAAGAATGGAAGCAGGAAATGTCTGCTAAGCATGTTAACTAATTAAAAATATTTAAAATGTCTAGTCAAAACTGGTAGAACAAGATGTTTAATATTGGCTTGGCTTTGAATAAAGGTTTTGTGGAACTACAGGCATTATTGTGTGATCTCATAATTGGGTCTTTTGCTGAGAAAAACAAATATTTTCTGAGGCCTTAAATCCTGCTGTATGAATGGAATGCACAGCAAGTAAAAAGATCACATTCATTTTGAATTTTAAATATTTCTTTTACTGGTTCACTTAAATACAGTATATAGGTCTTGTTAAACACATTTTAAAAACACTTTGGCGCATTTAATTATGGATATATAGAGGCAGAAATTTTCTCTAATCTGGACCCATTTCAGATGGACCAGACCAGGGGTGTCAAACTCACATCATCACGGTGGCGTCATGTGACATATT